AAAAATATTAAGGATTTCAAGATTGCAACAGTAGAACTTTAAACCAAGGGTGGAGCCCTTCCAAGTGTAGGGCCCTGGGTGACTGTGCAGGTCTCCTGCCAAGAAACTGCTCCATGTTCTGGACCTGGAGGAAAAGCCTCCAAAAGGAATTGTCAAAACTTGGAATCAGTGATGCTGGTTTTTGGAATTCATAACTTAGACAAGTGTTATGTTTTCCACCTTTCCCCCCTACTTCTTATCCCCTCCTCAGATCCAGTAACTTTATGTGGAATTGCTTCTTGAGTGTGAATAAGTTGGCTTTTTAAGTCTTTTGTCTCTTCCTTTCTATTATTAGGCAATGATCTTCTAGAACGTTGTACAAAGTGTGCATTTGACTTGGTGAGTCATCTTCATAAGAGCTGATGAAGGAGTTAATGTCCTTTTTTTAAAAAAAAAAAACTTTTTATATTGAATTATTTTAGACTTACAGAAAAATTGCAAAAAGTCTTGAGAGTTTTCATATATCCCCCCCATCTTCCCCTAATGTTAACATCTTACATAACTATAGTACAATTATCAGAACCAAAAAGATTAATGTTGCTACAATACTCCTAACTAAAGACCTTTCTTGAATTTAACTAGGTTTTTTGCTACTGTCTTTTTCTTCTGCTAGGCTCCCGACCAGATCCCACATGGCATATAGTTATTTCTTAGTCTCATGCAGTCTTTGAAAGCTCTTTTGACTGTCTTTCCTGACGCTGACTTTTTTGAAGAGTATTGATCAGTTATTCTGTCAAATGTCCTGCAATTTGAGTTTTTCTGATGTTTTCTCTTGATTAGGCAGAACACTGCAGGTAATGATGTGTCCTCAATGCATCCTATCAGGTTCATGATGTTGCTTTGTCTTATTACTGCTGATGTTGACATGATTAAGGTGGTTTCTGCCAGCTTTCCCACTGTAAAACTACTATCCTTCCCTTTGTAGTTCATACGTATCCTGCAGGAAATATTCTGAGACTATGCAAATTCTGTTTCTCTTCAAACTTCTCCCTACTCGTTTTAGCACTCATCAATGGAGCTTGTGTGCAATAATTGCAGTGTTTAGCTAATGAAGCTATTTTCTGCAGTTCTTTTTTGTCTCCAGCCTTGTGGCACCCAACCTAGGGCTCATGCTAGTTGCTTTCTTCCCATTCTTCTTTTTTTTTTTCCCAATCCTTCTTAGTGTAGCTATGTTTTTGACTTATAATGGGTTCATTTTTCAGTATTTCTTATTCCATTTGGGCTCTCTCCGCATCCCAGTTGGTTTTAGTTATGTCATTATTTTGGGGGTATGTGAGACACTACCACTGCTCTAAGAGGCACAGCTATATGCATATATACTCTGAGTATCACTACCTCCTCACTCCTGCTACCCCATTTCATTTACTCCCGTTTTCCATCTTTCTCCCACCTATCCTCTACAGGTAGCCACTTGCCTTGGTTTCCGATTTATCTTTCCTGTACTGCATTTCTTTTGCACAAACGAACAAATGTGCTCTGTTTTTTTTATATTCCTTTCTTTCTCGGGGCAGCATTTGCGCTTTGCATTTTTCACTTAGCAATGTGTCTTGGCAACCGCTTTATATCAATTCGTAGAGTTCTTCCCCGTGTACTAATTTTTAAAAAAGTTTTTTCATTTATTTTGAGAGAGAAAGGGCAGGGGAGGGGCAGAGAGAGAGGGAAGGAGAGAGGATCCCAAGCAGGCTCCACGCTCAGCATGGAGCTCATCGCAGGGCTCGATCACACGATTGTGAGATCATGACCTGAGCCCAAATCAAGAGTCAAATGGGTGGGGCGCCTGGGTGGCTCAGTGGGTGGAGTGTCCAACTCTTGGTTTTGACTCAGGCCATGATCCCAAGGTCATGGGATCTAGCCCTGTGTCAGGCTCTGTGCAGGTGTGGAGTCTGCTTAAGATTCTCTCTCTCTCTCTCTCTCTCTCTCTCTCTCCCTCTTCCCCTCTACCTGCTCTCGTTCTCTCTCTCTTAAAAAAAAAAAAGTCAGACTCCTAACCCACTAAGCCACCCCTTCCTCATTTTTTTAATAGCTGCTGAGTATGATATTGTGTAATGTACCACAAATGTACAAATACTTAGATTGTTTCCAAATTTTTGCAATTACAAATAATACTGCAATAAATCACCTTGTGTATATGCCTTTTTTGTTAATTAATTAATTAATTAAATTTCCTTCTAATCCTTCTTGTCTCCAGGGAACTGAGAGCTGTGTTGATGTTACTATTTCATGTTTTCTTTCTTAGCTCTGCCTATCTTTGAAGTCTGTAATCTCTCACAATAAGCATGGATTGTGGTCGAGAAAATTTTCTGAGAAAGTCCTCACTCCCTGACTAGGCCAATAATTTGGGGGGCACCCCCAGTCTTATACTACAGTAATGGTTCTCAATCCTGCCTGAACATGAGAATCTCTAAGAATCTTCTAAATATATCAATGCCTAAGAATGCTCTAGGCAGATTTTGCAATTAATGCAGAATCTCTGGGTGTGGGACTGAGGCACCTGTATTATTCTGAGGTGCCCCAGAAATTCCAATGTGCAGCTAAGGTTGAGAACCACTGGGTTAAATCCCTGGAATGTTACAAAAATCTCCTGGCCTTCACCATATTCCGTGATTTGATCCTTGCTGACTGGGAGGTGCTCCGCTCAGAAAATTCCTGATTTTTACCTGTAGGAGATGTAAATACCAGCTGGCTTAATTTAGGGAGAATCTGTAAAAGTATTTAATGAGATGGAAGTTCAACCTAGTCAAGAAATTTTTTTTTTCTCATATAAAGTCTGAATGACAGCTAAAAGTTGCTTCAAGCCAAGAAGGAAAATTGTTACATTTCCTTTTCTCCCCTTCAACATACAAATCTGGGTACCTTCCTTTGTAGTTGGTCTATTAATACACTCCAACTAACACTTGTAAAACAGAGTCCACCAATTATGCTGTTTTTCATCAAATCAAAGCAACCGTGACTTGTAAAACACAGTTATCTTATGTAGCACTAAGAAAGAAAAAACCCCACTGCTAAATAATTATGAGGTATAATTAAATGTAAGAGATTTTTAAATGTGGGGAGCCACATTTAATATACGCATATTAGAATTGATGAAGTGCAGTCGATCTTTAGCCTAAACCTCTTCTGTGAACTCCAACTCAGTATGGTTACTTGAGTTGCTCACAGGCCTAACATGTCCCAGTCTGGACTCCCCATCTATCTTGGCCAAAGCTGTTCCTTTTCCTGCATTGTCTGCTCTGTCAAACGGAGCACCCCCTGCCCCCCCAACTAGAAACACAGAAGTCATGTCAGACTCCTGACCTCCTTTGCTTTCCAAATACAAAAGACCTTTCCATTGTCAGTTCTGTCTCCTACCCCTCTCTTGAACGCATTGCCTTCCTCTTTCCCTCTTTCCTGAGGGGTCTTTGAGTCGGGTCTTCCTCGTCTCTCCACAGGATTACTGCAGTGACCTCCTACCTGCTTTCCACTTCTCGAATCAATCTTACTCCACGATATCCTCGTTTTCCTTCTCAAACATCAATCCGATCATATTATTCTTCACTTAAATTATCCTACAAGACAAATACTCCATTCAAAAGACAAGCAAAGTGAATGAACAGGCCACCCTACAGAAGAAACTAATACACATTTATGCATGTGAAAAGTTCATCACGAAATAAATGTCACAATGACATCTCCCCGCTTATCCAATTGGCAGAATTTGAGAGAACTGGTAACGAATGATTGTAAGAGTGTCTGCACACTTACTTACCGTTGTTGGCAGTGGAATATTTTACATGGCATTTTGGCAACGTTTTGGATACGAGAAGGAACGCAAACTGCCTAATATCTCTGAGCCTCAATCACTGTATTTGGTCCAATGGGGCTGAGATCTCCCTTAAGGGCCTCAAGGAAGGGAGGTAATTCAGGGGAAAGGGATTTGTAAATAATAATAGCTAAAATTTACTGGGCGCTTGCCGTTTGAAGCGCTTCATCTGTGTTAGCTCATTTAATCTTCACGATAACCCTGTAGGTACTAGCATTATCATCACCCCCAATTTTACATAGAAGAAAACTGAAGCGCAGAGAATTAAACTTTGCCCAAGGGGCGGGGTTAGTAAGGGGTGGAGCTGGGATTATCGGCATTAAATCTATAGAGGGTGATCTAGCTCGAGTCCTGTTTTTACAGTAAGCCTACACCACTCTTTTCCTTCTGATAACCCACAGAACCCATAGTTGAAATTTGTTGATAAAAGAATTTGTTCTTCGTGAGCAACCATCAACTGGCCTTCTCTAATTGCTTTGTGTATCTCACCACAGTCCTGTCGGATAGAGCTCGTGAGAACTCAGCCCACCTCTCATTCCAATTCATTTTCAGTGTCCTGGTCAACGCTGGGTACACGGTAAAGCCTGAGACAGAGGCCTAATAAAAGCTATCGTACATTTCTGTGGGACCAATGGCGTATCTTTACAAATAGGAAGTAATTTTCCCGAGACTGAAACATACACAAACGACCACGCGCCTTGGGGACTATAGCTCCGCTCCACATCCGTGCACCACAGCCGACCTTTCCCGCTTTCCTACATCCGTCGGACTTTGCCCGGAACCTTTCTTGAGGGCATCGGAAGCAGCCGGCCGGGACAACGCGGCTGAACACACAACACAGGAAGGACTAGCAGTCTAGCTATATGCCTGAAGTTTCTCGTTCGCCTACATGATTCGGGCGAAAACGGCCACGAATTACTGCACTTCTTAAAGTACTAAGTGACGATAGCTTTTTCGCCCCTTAGTCAACATCATACTCAAGTGATTCCGAGTTAGTTCTTCTTTTTGATTAGGCGTATGTATGGACAGCTCATTTGAAACGAACAAGGAAGGCGGGGGAAGAAAGCGGAAGCCGCGGGGTCTTCTAAACCAGAAAGTCTCCGGAGCCTGCGCTAAGCTATTTGCGGCGGCCCCCACTTACACGCACATCTCAGAAAGCAGGCGGTGGGGGGAAAAGGCGTCGTTCCTGGAGCTGAGACCAGGCGGCCAGAGTCCTCAGGGATGAACCTCGAGTTGCTCGGTGAGGAGGGCTGTGGTTGCGTTTTAGAAAACCTTTTGGTTTTGGAAAGGAGGGAGCCTGGTCGGGAGGGACTCAGGCTGCAACCTTAGGCACATAGTTCTGCTGTGGATCATTGGGCGCTCCTATTATGGAGCAGCAGCGGGAGGAGGCAGCCCAGCTTCTGCCTGAGCAGAATGCATTGCCTTTCCCGAGGCTACTTTCAGATCAGTTGTGGAGCGGCAGGGACAGTTTGTGACTTCGATTTGATCACAAGGATCGAAGGTGCTGAAGTAGCCCAGAGCAGGCAGGACCAGAGTTATTGGAAAATCAGGAATCTAAGGATGTGAGGCTTAGGTGAAGCTTTGAAGACTTGTCAGGGGTTTGGGTGCTTGGACAAGTTAGATTGTTTTGTAGAAACACGGGATGCCCAAGGAGAGGAACTTGAAGATCTAGTTGAAGTCTCTTATTCGACAGATGAAAAAAGTCTTAGACAGTAGTGATTGGAGGGCACTAAGTGAGTAAATGGCATAGGTGGCACTGGAATCCAGTTATCTTGGCTTCCCATTTAAGCTCCTTAACTACCAGGGACAGTGTGTAAAACACTGAGAGCTACAGAGGCATTTGTCTTTTGTCACCCTCTCTTTGGGTGATTTTTACCCCTTACCCAAGTTGTTTAAAAACCGTGGGTCCTTTCTTCTAGGATTTCATTTGGTGTTTAGCATGATAGCCGAGGGATGTCTGAAGTTTTCCAGAAGTCCTAAACGACTTTCTGTAAAGTTTCTCTTAAAAAAAAAAAAAAAAA